CTGCAGTGCAACCCGTGAAGCGCCATGACCCGGCGGAACAGGAAAGCGTGGCCATCCCTTCCGGATGATATTTAATGCTGCTGGACCTCCGAGTTGGGGGAAGGAGGGAAGAACAGACACATGAATGTGCAAACTCATAAAACCACGGGGAAAGCCCTGCTGGATCTGACCCCAGGCCCCTCTGGCCAGGCATTCCCCCAGAGCTACCCCAAACAGAGGCCTGCAAGCCAAGCAGAATGCAGCAGCACCCTCCCACCCATGTTCTCCAGAACCTGGTATGCAGAGACATAAGTGAGTTTCCTGAACCGGACCAGCAGCCCTCACCCCCGCCCTGGAGATAAGGCTCCTCCCACACCGGCACTGTGGGTCGTCATCCTCTCCCTCAGTCCTGCACTGATATGCTGTGGCTCAAAGCTGAGATCTTGTGCATGCAAAAACAACAATCTTATAAGACCCCCAATACACTGCGTCCCTCGCTGCAGAAGATACCCTACAAATCACGAAAGATACTAGTCCTCACTGTTAAGAATAAAGGGCTGATTGAAAAAGGAGCATGGGGAGCATTCCAGTCACATCACTGGAATTTCGTTCTTTGCTCAGACACATTCCGTGCAGTGTCCCTGCAGGACGGCAAAGCGCCCTGCTTCCTGCTGGGAGTTATGCGGCCCTCAGGGGGCAAAGCTGCCCCCCCCCCGCAGCTGAAAGGTGCTTGTGCTGGGTCCATATGGATAGTCCCCCCTCCCTTGGCCATCAGACTCAGCCCATGGCCACTGAGTGAGGCCCTTCCCCTTCCCAAGGATCAAGGGCTTTTCCAGCCTGGGGCTCTCAATAAGCAGCCAGTGCAAAGAGGAGTGCCAGGAGCTTCCTTCCCCCATGAACATCTCATCGGCTTGGCTGGGTGGGCCGTGTGCAGCTCACTGGTGTGTGAAGCAGGTGAGGCCACTACCTCAACATGATGAGGGCTGAACCCAGGTCTTTGCATGCCAAGCCAGGCTCCTTGGGCCAGGGAACAGTGCCTCGCGGCCTCTCCACCCTCCACACCCCTCCCAACACCACACTGGGGCCCTTCACAGGCTCAATTATTCTCCAGGAAGGGAGGAAGATGCCAGACAAATGGCTGGTTAAATAGGGGCACCCCCAGATCTTACGAGTGTTGGGCCTTTGGTCCAGCAAGCTGACTGACTGGCAGCCATGTCAAGGTCCTGGTTCCACATGGGGTCAGAGGGAGTGGAGCTCGGACCCTGCCCTGGGCACTGCTCCGCTGCTAAACTAGCGTCTGGCCCCTTAAATGCACGTTTCCCGTCCTCGTGGTTCTCAGTCAAGGACTGATTTAAGGGGAATGCAGACGGTTGGTCCATGTGACCCAGAGTGGCTTTCCAGGGGTTTCGGCTTGGGGGCTTTCCTGGGATGTCTGCATGCAAAAAAGTGGGGGTGTCTTCCCTCTCCTGAAAGGAATAGCTTCATGCAGTCTGGGGGAGGCCAGGTGGCCTGTAGCCCCTTGGTGTGCAGAGGGGGGCATCTCCCCCAGATATCTGCTGAGTTTCCAGACTCTGAGATTCGATTCCATGGTGGAGGAGAGGGGATGTTGCTGCTGACATGCCAAGCGATTCTAAGAAAGCAAACAGAATTCCTGGAAAACGTCCCAGATGGTGAGGCTAAGAAGGAAGCTAATGGGCACACCAGGGAAGCAATCGGATTAAAGCCCATTCCAGCAAAGTGGATGGTCGGTCCACCAAAGTCCTACCCAGGGGCAGCCTGACCTCGGGGGAAGCAGAAGGGGGCAGATCTGCTAGTGTGCAGTGGGGCAGATTTGAAGCAAGCAGATCCTGTCAAGATCAAACTACCAAAAAGGCAAAGCTTCTTCACCGTTGAGGGGACAGGAGAGGAACCTGACTGAAAGGAGGGCTCCTGTGCGTGGGTCCCACTGGCCATCCGCCGTGCCCTTTCCTGAAACTCCACTGCATGCACCTTCAGCTTCACCTTCAACTCCACTTCATGCACCTTCCCCCAGATCCATGATCCTGCATCCTGCAAGCATCCCAGCATGTCCAGGGCTCTCTTTTGATGGTGGTCGGAGGAACCCACCCCAAAAGTTCTTTGCAATTCCACAAATTTCAGGGATTCCCCCAAGCACAAATAGAGCAAACCAAATGTGGAAAGGTTAACCTGTGGCTCCAGGCCATTTTCTGGGCTAAAAGACCCCCCACCTCACCCTGACCACAGAAAAGTCTAAACCCCTATATGTTACATGGGGCATCAAACATACTGATTTCCCTGCAGGTCCTGGGAAACAAACCAAAGACACACAGCCGAGCCTGGAGAAGGGGGATAAGGAGGCATTTTCTCTTCTCTTCTAACACTAGAACCTAGTAGGATCATCCATGGAGTAGGTCCAAGGAAGGACTTCTTTGCACAGGGCAGAGTTAAACTGTGGAACTCCCTGCAACAGGATGTCGTGATGGCTGCCAAGCAGGAGGGCTTTAAAAGGCTGATGGATGGAAATGATCATGAGCTACCTCAATGAGCTACCAAGGCCATAGATTACCTCAATGGGAGGCAGTATACTGGGGTACCTGGCTGGCCAGTAACCACACACTGGAATGGAAAGGCCTTTGGTTGGCTCCTCACCGGTTTTTCCACACTGCACATTCTTAAATCAACAGGTACTCACCAACTGGGCATCCCTTTGCTGAAAAGGGCGGACCTGCAATTTTGGGGAAATGCACCTTTTAACTGGGGCTATTTCTCAAATATAGACAGACATTTTTAAAGACTGGGTGGTTAATCAAACCACCATGTTCACAAGCCTTCTCCAAATGCCATAGGAAGAGGAATTTGCTGTTCCTGTGCTCAGCTTGCAGCGTACCCCAGAGGTGTTGAGTGAGCAGCAACCCCTGGATGGGGCTGACCCCGCAGGAATTGCACGGTGCACGTCAAAGGCAGGCGCTGCATCGAGTGCACTCCTCTTCCATGGCAGAAGAGCAGCCAGCCGCCCTGCTGACACCGAGAGGCTCCCAAGCATGTGGACGCACGAGCCATTCCCCCTGCCCCACAGAGCATGTGCCACAGCCTCTCCTTGTGCCCACACCACACCGTGGGCCGCCAAAAGGTGATTTGGCAACTGCTCTTGCTGGGCCAGCTGCACCAATCAGGAGGCTCTGAAGTGCTGCTTTCTGACTTATGTCCGCAAAAACTTTTACGGAATAGGCTAATCTGTACGGATCCGGTTCATGGATCTGGTTCAAAGCACTGGCTGTGTCCTCTTCCTCCAGCCTCCCAATGTAAAAATCAGGCAGTCGCCCAAATTTTGGAAAGGGTGAGTCATCTGTGGCATTTTCAGTTCTCTCTATATCCATATATACACCACACACACATACACACCACTCCTCTTGGGTGTCACAAACACAGAAGAGCTCACAGATCCCCCATTGCAACACTGCTGTGCAAAATGGCTGCAGTCATCCGGGCACATCGAGTTCCCTTTCCAGGATGTGATTTAATCCATGTGCTCATGCACATTAGTAATCCATAAAGAGAAGGTGTGATAAAGAGCCGAACTAAAAATGCCAGTGAATTTTGCCCACCATACCAGTGGTATGAAGAAACTGCAGAAATCCCCCCAAATGGGACTTTCTCCAGGTTCTCCATGAAAGAGCAACAGTCCTTGCCCTAAAGATATTGTGAGTTTCCAGTCCTCATGGTTCTGAATAAGGGGAGGTGCAAGTATGAGCAAAAGATGCCATCTTACCCTGAATCAGGACATGCTTCCATGTTGGTCTCACAGTATAGCTGTGTTCATTCCAAAACAAAGAGTCAGCTCTGGGCACGACAAACTCACCGTGGGGGCGGATTTTGGAAAGTAAGCATTTTAGTTTTCATACAGAATCTGCTTTGCTGCTCTGGGAGAGAGAAAGCATGAATGGCTTAGGTGCACACAAGTGCAATGACTCCGAGGGGACCTGCTGGCAACATGCAGGTACGTGGGGGGGGGGTGTCACACGGAGGTGGGCAGAGACCTGTTCTCCCCTGCAGAGGAAGGCAGGACGTGCTCCAAGGGAGCCAAGCTCAGGGAACCCAGGCTCCATTTGGATGCCAGGAAGCACTTCCTGACAGTCAGAACCCTGAGGGTGTGGACTGGGCTTTCCCGGGAGGTGGTGGAGGCCCCATCGGTGAGGGTGTTCAAGGATAGGGTAGACATGCCCATGGTGGGCATGTCGTGAGCAGAGCCAGTTGGAGCCGGGGGTCAGACTAGATGTCCCAGGAGATCCCTTCTGACTTGCTCAGTTTCTGTTTCTATGCTGCTAGACCTCACTGAGGCCAATAATTGGCTGCATTCAATAAAACAAACGTTCTAATCCTCCCTGACCTCTCTTAGTTGCTCAGCCTCATTGCATTTTCCTATTTAGCCTTCCCTAGCCAGGTACCCACAAGATGTTTGGACCTGAACTCCCATCAGCCTCATGGATAGCATGGATACTTGTCAGGAATGCTGGGAGTTATAGACCAAAAGGATCTAGGATCTAGCCTGGGATTTCCCTGGAATAGGAATCCTGTGACTTTAATACAGTACAGGCAGAAATTCAACCAGGAAAGCTTCCCATATAGACACAAAGGGGAACTGGCCAGGCCAGAAAAGCAGAGAAACACAAGCTGTAAGAACATCCTCCGTGCTGTGCAAGGGTTAGGAGGCAGAGAAGCAATTGGCATCGCTGCAATTTCAGTGACGGTTGTGCAGTGAGGAATTTTTATTCCTGGAAGGCAACTCTTCCTATTCCTTGAAACCACCCTTTCCTGACTTGGTACCTTTTGGATGTGTTGCAACACAGCTCCCAACAATTTCAGTCAGCATGGCACTGCATTAAAGTGTTGCCATAAAGATACACTGCACATGCTCAGGGGCAAAGAAACTTTTTTGGCCTGAGGACTGAATTCAAACCTGAGGAATCTTAGCATACACCGAAAGGAAATTGCAGTTCAACAGCTTGTTCCCGAACACCCACCTGAAGATCAGGCTGAAGGAAAAAGCTGCGTCCTGGCTGTCCACTGGATTGCACTGAGCTCATTAGATTTTGCCTGATGAAAAGCAGGTTCCTAGTCCTTATGGAAAGAAAGAGAAAATGCAAAAGCTATGAGCAGAGGCACAGCTGGACTTGCAGAGCCTGATACCACAAACACAGCTCCTGCCACCTCCACAATCCCTTTTTCCTTTGCCCCATCAGACACCCCTCCAGATCTTTGTGCAAATCTCAACCGCAGAGGCATGCTGGGAAAAAGGAGACTCACAAGTCATGCCTGTAAATCTTGCTCTCTCCCTTTGTGCTGGGACTGCAGAGCAAACTTTGGCCCTGTAAATTTTCCTCTCAGCACAGGAGTAGGTGAGGTTTTCCCTTCTGCCTGACAAAGCCTCCTGAGCAACTCACAAGTTCACACCAGTGTAACCACAACGCTGGCTAGCTACTTGTGGTGTTCCCATTCTCTCCCCAGTTCTCCCGTCCCCGCCGCCACTTGTTTTCCATGCAGGGTATTTTATTTCCATTTCTACGGCCTTTTATTGTTTCAGCAAGAGGAAGGCAGAAGACGAATCCAGGGGAATAAATTAGTTTTGGCCTCTTCCCCGCAGCAGCAGGTCCTGTCCGCGGCCACGCACCCCTTTTCAGCAGGAAATGCCAAGGAACAGACCACCCGAGTGCCAGAGGGAGCAAAGTAAATCTGGAGTGGAAAATGGAGTAACCGCAACCTCTCGCCCTCTGCGCGGTTCGGGTTTCGGTGCAGACGGGCGCACGCCAAGCCACAGCGGCGCGTTGTGCCCCGCGCTCGCCGCCACGGCAGGCCCCCTGCGTGCCCCGCGGCCCCCGCTCTCGCCGAGCAACGGGCAGGGCCACTGGTCGCCAAGCCTGCTGCCGGGCAGGCAACAGCTGCCGCCCGAGAATTTCCTTTGCCCTGCTCGCCCAACACACGAACCGTCAGAAAGCTGCTTGCGACGCGCTTTCAGTGGCCCGAACGCTGGAAGAGCCGCCCCTGACTTTGGGCGCCCCCTCAACTTGCAGGGGGTACTGGCGTGGGGGCTCTGCTGATTCACGTCTCCCGCGCGCGCGCGCATCCGCCTCTCGAGGAGGGCCACGCGCGCCAATCGGGGGCGCCCCCCGCCAGCTCGCCATTTCCAAAGCGTGCAGGAGAACAGGGGGAGGGGGGTGGGTCGCGGCAACCCAGGAAAGATCGTGGTGGGGCGGCGCTCAAGCCGGGGCGGCGGCCACGGCAGGGCGCCTCGGGCATCCACGGGCGCGCGGCTCCGCCTTTCCTTCCCCGCAGCGAGTGCGTGAAACTTTGGGCTGGGCTGGTTTGCCCAGCGGGGCCACTCCGCTCCTGAAGAGCAGGTGCCGAAGCCTCGCGGCGACCTGCGTCGGGCCGCCCCCTCCGGCCGGCGCCGCACGAATTCTGCCCGACTGCTGCTGCCCGGCGCCCGTAGGTGCGTGCGCGGGGAGGTGGGCGAGGCGGCCCTCGCTCCCCTGCGCTGCAGCCTCCGACCCGCGGAGCGCGGCTCACCTTGGCGGGCCGGCTCGGGCGAGGCAGGCGCTGCGCCGGTGAGGACGCGCCCCGCGAGCGGGGCCACCTGGAGCCAGGGCGTGGCCGGGCCGCCTGCAGCCTCCTCAGCACGCCCAGGCGTGGCGCCGGCGCCGGGACCCGCTCTGCCTCGCGCGCTCCGGAGGCGGGCGCCGCCGCCGCCGGCTCGCTCTCCCCGCCGTCTTCTGCAGAGGAGGGACCACTGGCAGGCGGGGAGGGCGAGCAGGCAGGTGCCTCGCAGCCTGCGTGGTTTTGAATTCCACCGGCCCTCCCGATTGGCTCCAGAGTTGCCGGGGGCGTGGCGAGAAGACGGCAGGAGGCGGGGTGTGCTCAGGCGCCTTCGCGCGCCCGGCGCCCACCGGGGCCAAGCGGACCCTCCCGCGGCTGGGCGCGTCTCGGTGGACAGAGGCAGGGACGGCGCGGCCAGGGCCGCCGACGCATCTCTCCAGTGCCGGTTTCCGGTGCAATGGAAGCGATAGCCGTCACGCCCTCCGGGAGTGGGAGTGGGAGTGGGAGGGGGGCTGGTTAAAGTATCCCCAAATTATCAGCTTCTCTCAGCTTGGATCCTCTCGGGGCGTGGGAAAGCCCCCCTCACTTTCGGAAAGGGTCACAGTACAAAATCCAAGCAGCCACCAAGTGACTGGGGGTTGGGAGAAGGGGCCATGGCCTCGTGGGGGGGGGGGCTCTCTGTCCCCCACCCCCACGTGCGGCTCTCCACCCCCACCCTAGAAGCGGCTCACGAGGGGGCTTGGCCATATTTCTGTCCCTGGAACGGTGTCTTCCATCCATCCCTTTCAAGGGTAGAAGAATTTTGGAGAGTTCCCAGTGATCATCTAGCCTAGCCCATTCATTGTTCAGTGCAGGAAACCTGTCAAAGTGGGGGATGAACCCTGGGAAACAGGGTGGAGATACACAGAATGGCACCTGAGGTGGGGAAGCGCACTGGGAGACATTTTTCTCCTTCTCCCTCTCCTCGGACCCAGACAGGAGCATCCCAAGAAGCTGGCTGGTGGAAAACTAAGGACTGATCAAAGCAGGTCCAAAGTATACTGTACAAAGACAAACCATGGAATTCACAGACAAGAATTCATGTTCTGAGCCATTAGTCTGCAGTGAGTCTCCCAAAATAGTGACCTTCCAGTGTCTGGCATGTCAGCTCCCATTTGCTTCAGCCAATGGCCTGGAATGCTTGGAGTTCTAGTCCAAAATACCTGGAGATCATGGTGAAATAGACAAGCCAGTAGTTGGGTCTGATAGGTGTAGTTTCTGGTACACCTATCTAAACCAACCCTTTAATTAGGTGCCGCGAGGGCTAGTTTGAAGAGGAAGGGTCATGTCTTGGAAATAAAGGACATCTGACCTGTGGAATGACCCCAGGTTCTGTCCCTGACAATACCAGTCAAAATTGATCTCTGTGTTTCATGAGGACTAGAATCTTCCTCTATGCAATGGCCTGTATTTGAGTCCAAATGGATGTTCTTTTTTCCATTCCCTTAATATCTAGGTAAGGCTAGAAAAGCCACATCTCAGAAAAACTGGAGAGCAACCATCATTCAGTCCTGAGCTAGAAGGTCTGGCTTGGTGCAAAACCACATCATACATTCTCAGAATAATCATTTAACATTTCTAAAAGCATTTAAAATGTAGGTTACTTTTTATAAATAATAATCTTAAAACAGACAAGTACCTTCCCTGTGGACATCCACCTATCCATCTCACAGTTGCAAATTAAACTCCGGTCTGTCTAGAACATGATGGTTTGCATCACGCACATGTCCTTCTCACCCACCCAGGAGTCCAAGGGATGCTGCAAGATGGGGTTTCCACGGCAACTGCCTCCCAGGTCCAGCAAGGCTAGCCAATCAGCTGTACGCCGGGGTATGGACGGTACAAGCCACTGGGGACCAGGTGGGGGTGTGGAGATGTTTGAAGGAGGATGCCATTAAATGCAAGACCATGCATGGAAGAGCGTTTCTTGGCAAGAAGGGCTGGGAGACTCTGTGTGGGGCAGTTGCGCCTCTCTCAACCCCACTGGCATCATCAAGATGCCGCAGAACTGCGGCCATGGAATGGATGGCGCAGGCCTTTTGCACAGCACCTCAGCAAACTACAAGACTTGTTGCCACAGGATGCGGCCTCAGATGGCTTTGAAAGGGGTTGTGCAAACACATGGAGGAATAGACTGCTAGCAGCGACTAGTCAGGGCAGCTATGGATGTCGCTCTGCGAGCACACAAGTGGAGGGTGGTTGTCTGGCTTTGGATTTCCTGGAGAAACAGGGTGCTGGGAGGGGTCAGCCTTTTGCCTGATCCAGCACTGTTCATCTGGCATTCTTGGCAGGTCACAAGTGAATGTACATCAGCAGTGCAATGCAGCTGCAAAAAGGGCGAACGTAATTGTAGGCTGCATGAGCAGACCATGGAGTGCTGGTGGAGTCCTGATCACATCAAGCAGTTTCTTTGTTCTGCATCATTCAGGTTTTACCCAACGGGAGAATTAAAAACTTGAGTCATCCAGATCCTGTAAGCCAAAACCTTAAAAGGTGGCCCAGTTGCAAAAAAGAAAAAAAGGAAGGCACCAAAAGACTGATGTTGGGGAGGGGGGGCATTGGGTGTCCTGGAAGATAGGAAATCCCACAAGGACTTGATTTGCTCTTGAGCTTCCCCATCCCTGATTTAATCTATTTTCTGCCTTTCCACCAAGAAATGATGCTCAGTGTGGCCAAAGTAAAGGTGCAGATTAAAATCAAAACTGTAATTGAACCCCAACACAAACAACTCCAAGATAATGTTTTTTAAAGACATGAAAGCCCACCTCTCAGCTTTCAGAAGCAAACCAAAGGGCCTCTTGACCAAACAACAGACTTTGGGCCTGTCGACAAAGATGGCTTTATTTGTGAGTAATCAAAGAAAGAGGCTCTGGCTTAAAGCCTCTGCAAAATCCAGACACAAATCAAATTAAGTGTTCAGGAACAGAGAAAAGGAACATCCATTTGGACTTAAATCCAGCCACAGAAAACTATCAGAGTTATCCAGGCCGATACCGAAGGCAAGTGGGGAGGGGGGGTCAAATTTAGCCCTCCACTCTTGCCAGTCCAGAGCAAAGCAAAAAGAAACCTTTCAGGGATTCAAGAGAACCTCTACAGGAAGGACTGGCTGTCCAACTCACAGTTAATATGATTAATATGTTACCAGTCCTTAAAATTACTGGGGAGACAGGATGTTATGGACCATCTGGGTATCTTTGGGTGAGCCCAATGATCTTTCCTGTTCAGGCATGCCTTTGGGAGACTCATTCTGCCCCCATACTAGTTTTCCTTCTCGTTTTTGCAAGCCCTGATTTTTGAGAGTACCAAAGGCCACCAGGTGGCTGCTCCCAAGAAGATAATCATGCAAAAGTGGAAAAGTGGGACCATCCTGGTCCCAAGGCTTTTTTCACCTTTCTCTGCAAAACAGATGAAATCTTGGCAACTAATTGCTGGTGTCTGAATTCTGCTTTTTTCCTCCTCCCTCCCATCCCCCTTTCCTTTTGTGTTATGTCTCTTAAATTATATGCCTTGAGGTAGGGACAGTCCTCTTCCTCCTCTTTGTAAGCCATTTGTAAACTTTGTTGTGGCTGGAAAGTGGGCTAATGCTGCAAATAGGTACAAGAAAGAATAACTCCCCCCCCAAACACCAAATTGAGTTCCTGTTTCTAGAAACGGGGCAGAATGCCCCGAGAGACAAGCTCCAAGCAGGACCTCCTAACCTCTCACCGGGGGCGGGGGGGGGCACTGGAGAACAGTCAGTGCCCTGGGCTGCCCAGCTTCCCTAGGCTGCATCCAGGCTTCGTCTGCCTGCTACAAACTGCAGAGCAGTGAGGGGCGCCATCTCCTCTGCCTGGGGTTGTGTTTTAATGAGGCCACAGAAAGGCACGTAGACGCAGGTGGGCAGGCAGAAAGATCTTCTGGTTCCAAAGCTTTAAGGGAGAATTACATCATGAGCAACCTTCTTATCATATTCAGGTTTTTTCCCCATTTTGTAGTTTTTTATTTATACCTCACCGTTTTCCCCTTGAGGCTCAGAAAACCCCAATTCTCCTCCACCCTATTTTCTGCACAACAACACTGATGGGTAGGCAAGTCTCAAAGTCCGTGTCTGGCCAAAAGTCACCCAAGTGAGCATCAGGGCTGAGGGTTCAAAACAGGACTCCTGCATCCCAGTCCAGCACTGCAAGCACCTGCCACGCCGGCCTCCATTTTAAGGTCCTGATCCACACTCCCTTAGCACTCCGCCCCCAGAAGGCACTGCTGTCTCACACGGCCTCAGAGCACAGGCCCCGGCCTCTGCACCGTCTCTGATGAGAGGTAGGGAGTCGAAGCACTGGACTGGGACCAAGGACATCCGGGCTCCAGCCCACACTTAGCCATGATGGTCTCTGGGAGACTTTGGACCAGTCACAGACTCAAAAACTAACCCACTTTGCAGGGTTGTTGTTGGAAAACTATCTAAGCTACCTTGGGGTTCTTACAAGAGAAAAAAGGTGGGATATAAATGCAAAGTACAAATAATCAGTCAGCCACCAATTAGCCCATCAAAGGTTGGAGTTCAACCTAAGGCATAGCCACAGCCCGACATCACCTGGCCCACAGTCCATGGAGGGAAGGGGCTGTAGGGACCCCCTTGCTGCAGACACTCTGTGATTCTGGGCTCACATTTCACCCCAAAGCATTTCAGGCCACGAATCATTGCCTCCCTCCACCCAGCCAGACAAACCCATAAAATATCCACAACTCACTGGAGTTTGGCGGTTCAGTTGGAATCATCGTGCTCCGCTTTTCTGCTACCAAACCTTGGATGTGCCTCGGCAGGGTGTGGGGGGCAGAAGTCACTGAGTGTTTCAGGGCACTGCTGCTGAAACAGTGTTTCAGGGCACTGCCATCCTGATTTAATCTTCCTTTGATCATTCCATCTCAGACTGCCAGCTCTTCCGTGGTGCGCCCCGTCGCCTTGGCAATCATGGTGCATCTCAGCCGACATAAATCCTCTGGCGGGACCTGTTGCCAGACAATCCTAGAGCAAGTCATGGACTGGAAGATGAAATGTAGGTACAGGAGAGGAAATGAAAGCCTGGCTGCATCACGGAAGAATGGAAGGAATGAGCAAGTGAGTCTGCACATGGTTGGGGGGCAAGCCGGCATTGTAGCGTTTCAATACAAAGAAGAGGATGTGTGGGGAATGCGGCCAAGAAGCAGGAATTGAAGGGCAGCGGTGTAGCAGCACCAGGACTTTTGTTAATGGGGACACCAGCAGCTGCCGCCCCCCTCTGAGCCAAACTGCAATCCTGACAATAGTTGGGGTGGGGTAGATTGTCCCTGCAACAATGTATGGCTTGAATGTGCAATTAAGAGCAGCTTGATGAAAGACATGCTCCTGGGGGAGATGAATGCAAGCAGAATCAGCTGGTTGTCCACAAGTTTGGGTATTTCCTGGGTGTGCGGCAGTGAGGGCACTCATGACAAGCTCTGGCACCCCAAAATTTAATGCATCATTATTGCAGCCTCAGCTCAGGAAAGAGCAGCTCTCCAGACAAAGGGCATTGAAGGAGCAGTTCTCCAGGAATCATGCTGTGCTGCCAAACAGGAAGCCTCTAACAAAAGTTGCAGCAGCTTTTAAAACCCTCTACAGAGCTCAGTCTGTCCCAGCTGGCACTGCAGCTGAGTTTCAGGGGTGGGGGTGAGAACCTGCACAAATCTGGCTGGAATAAAGATGGTGCAGGAAACCCTGAAATGCAGTGAGAAGGAAACAGATTCATGCTGGATCAGCCCAAGAGCCCAGCTGGTTCAGCATTCCCCTCATTCATGAATCTGTCCACCCAAAAGATGGTCCCAGCAGTGCACACAGTGGTGGGGGATTCCAGAGGAAGGGGCTGCAATGGAAGGCCCCCTTCCAAAGGCAAGCCCCGTTAGCCACAGGCCCTGCAAGAGGCAGCAGTGCCGTTGGGAACCGGCAGGAAGTCGCTTCCCAGGAGGTTCCATGCAGCAGCAGCCCTTGCTTCATTCCAGCAGGGCCAGTCCATGCCTCCCCGGTCGTAGCTGCACAGCAAACTTCTATGATTCGCCTCAAATCCAAAGAAGAGATCACTGTAAAATGCCCGACTCATCCACTTGAAAAAAGGCTGATGCAGGAATGTGATTCTGCATTAGTGAACTCCTCTTCCTCCTTTTTCTGGCACTGGGCAGTATTTTTGCCTGGGATTTCACAGAGTGGCTGGTCCTACTTTGGCTTAGGGTAGTCATGGTTTTGCATAAACTGTGGATTCTACAGGCCTGATTCAGACCTTGCCTCCTCCTGTGCAAGAATGCTTCCCATCCGAGTCCATGTCTTCTGCAAGCCTCTCTGTGCAGCCTAGCCAGGCATCCAACACCCACTGGAGAAAAGTAGCTGCAGTGTTCCTGCATTTGCCTCACAGCAGAGGCAGTGTACTGGGTGCGAGGAACATGGGTGGGAGGGTGCTCTTGCATCTGGGTAGCTGGTTGGTCACGTTAGAGCAGAAGGACTGGGGCAGATGGGCATTCTCATGTTTCTCAAGGAGGGCGAGAAATAAGCCGCCATTGGTTTCCCTGTCTGCAGAGGGTTGCCCGAGAGATAGGCTGCCCCCGGACAAAGAGGATGTATGAAGCCACCATATCCAGGCAGCCATGGAAGTGCCAAAGAGCCAGCTGGGGGGAGAAATTGTCTCTCCCACCCGTCCCTTGTCATCTGCTTTGCAGGGCAAGATAGCTCCTCACGCCAGGAGAGCCTCAATGGCTGACTGAAAGCATTTGGGCCTTTTTGCCGGGACCAAGGGTTGGGTGCCAAACTGCCCTTGCCTGCTGTGGCCAGACTCCTATTGCCATCAGCTCCAGGCCGCTTGGCCAACAGCCGGAGTTGCTGTCCAGATGCACCTGGAAGTCCGCATACTTAGAACAGGAGTGAAGAACCCCTTTCAATTGCAGTTTTTAATTGCAAAAAGCTCCCAAAGGCTGGATTCCAGCAGGCCAAACTTACAAAATAGGCCCCCCAAGAGCTTTAAAGGACACTTGTCTGCAATTTTACCCTCTCCCGCTTTTACTGTGGTTGCATGCCCTTGCCTCTGTCCACCACGGGGATGCAGCCTCCAATAGTGAAATGCCCTCACACACTCTCCCTCGTGCTCTCTGCCCCATTCACAGGCTCTTGGTGGTTTACAACAGCTTAAAACCAGTAACAATTACAAATTAGACTAAAAGCAAGCATATTAAACAAAACTAATCTGGGGAGGCCTGTGGCAGTCTTCTGGGACACGTGATGTGTCTCCACCAACAGGCCATTTCATGGCTTGACTTTGGTCTGAAAGAGGTTCTCCACCTGTTACACGTGTATTCACTGGGTACAGGATCCGAGCCACAACCCTGCTCAGTGCTCTCTCTAGGGGAAAAACCCAGCCTGGCTGCAATACATTTAATAGCACATGCTGCATGCTCTAGCGCTGGCTATTTTTAATGAAGCTGACGTCTGCCTCTGACGTCCATTTCTATCCACGATAGAAACGTGGATTCCGAGCTTGCCAGATGGAGCTGCATGGCCAGACTAGGTGGGCCTTGGTCTGACCCTGAATGGCTCTTCTTGACTGAGCCTCCCTCGCCTCCGTCATTTGAACTCTCCCAGGGACAGACACACTGCCCCAGACAGCTCCACAAAGGAAGGGCTGATCCACACCACGCAGTTCTCCTCAGAACACGCTGCCACAAAATGCATCCACAGCCGATTTGGACAGCTTTAAGCAGAAAGATACTTTTTGGGCAAGGATGGGTGAGCCCGGGCCCCCCTGCACCCTGTACATCAGACCACTGCTCTGGCCCTCCAAGAGGCACCCTACAGCAGCACACGAAGCCCTCCGTCCTGCACCTTGTGGCCAGCACCGGTGCCCAGCAACACTCTGACCTTCAGAGGGCCCAGCAGGCACCGCTGCAGACAGACCAACTGCTTGATTGGTGCCAAGGAGCAACCACTTCAAGGAAGGGCAGGGACTGGGTGGCAGAGCTGCCAGAGGGCCAGCTTACTGGAGAGTGCTGGGGACAAATGGTTCCCACGCCAACAAGCAACAATGGGCAGAAAGGGGAGCACATGGGCAAAGGCCAGCTCCAGCCTTCCCATGATGGCGCTGAGCACCCTTTCCTGAATCAGCATCTGGGGGCTGGAACAGGAGCACTGACTTCTCCAGTCCACTGGCTCTGCTCTGCTCTGTGGAACCAGGCCTGCACGGGACAGTGAATGGTTCGGGCAGCTTTGCCTCCAGCCCGTAATGGAAAGCCACAAGTGGGGGAAGCTGGCAGCTCCCATGTCCGCAGGCAGAGTGCACCTGCTCTGAAGCAATGTCCATGGGTCTGAGCCCTGACATTTGCCCCAGGGACCACTGCGGATCCCAAACAGGGAGATGCAATTTATGCTAGCCAGTCGGGGGAGGAGGAGCTTTTGAGCACCAAATCAGAAGAATTAGCTAGTTCCAATTATGTGACTGGGGAACAGCAACTTCAGCCCTGCTGCTTCTTGGAGGGAGGTAAATCCAAAGCACGATTGCTGGGGAACATGGTGGGAGAGTCTGCTGTTATTTCGGCAGCTGCCTGGCTCATTCCCAACAGAATGCCGGCTGAAACAGACCCCTGTGGCCTGATCCAGCAGGGCTCTTCTGATAGTTTTAGTCAGATAGAACTACACCACAGGAGCTGAGCCAAGCCAGGTGGGAGGTACATCCTGGATGTGCCCCCTCCCCCTTTTACAGGACACCTTGCTGAGTCACTTCCCTTTCAGCAAGAATCCAGCGAAGGCACACCAGAAAACAGCAAAGATAGGAAAGCAAGAGCAGGGAACAGCAAAGAGAAAGTTTAACGGAAGGACTGTGGAGTTCCAGCTGAAGGTGGTCCTGGGAGACAGGGGGAAAGGCAGGTGTTTTTCAGATCATGATGACTGAAAAAAAAGGGGAGGAGCATTTTGCCCACCTTTGGAGTAAGTATAACATCAGGGGTGGGTGGGGAAGCTCAAAATGAAACTGACTGAATGCAAACACATGCAAAACACCAAGCAGCAGGGGTGGAGCTGCAGCAACCAATCAACTGTTTGGGGGGCTAAATGCACCCAGGGGTTGAACTGTGCCCCCCTTCACCAGCCCAAAGGAAATGGGGTGCCGAAATGGCACCGTGGGCGCTGCCCTGCCACCTGGGGGCCTTCTGGGCTGGGCACGGTCCCGCTGCCCAGGCCTGCGTGTGGGTAAGCAAAGCCCTGAGAAAGTGATGCGCCTCCTCCTCCTGCCTGCCCAAGTATCGGCAGCCCAGCGCTGACCAAATTGGCTGCAGGTGGCCGTTGCGCAGGGCTGGGCAAGCCTTGCTTCCCAGGCCCCTGGGGGCCACGCCTGTTCGTTCTCCACCACTGACCATTTGGTGCTTTCTCCCGCTCTAAAAGGCTTCCGGGCCGGCAGTAAGAGGCTCACAGCGCTATTTGGGGTCTTGTGGTCCAGCAACATTGGGGCCCTCAAAGCTCACCTGAAATTGAATTCAAACCCTGGGCTGAAAAGGGTTTTCCACCTTTACACAATGCTTCCAGCAGAGTCCTTGGTCCTCTCCCCTGGACTGTATCTGAAACTGTGAAGGTCACAGTCCCAGTGCTGGGGTGGGGGTGGCAGAGCTTTATGGCTGCAAGGAGAGCACCTTGTTGCCCTGCCCTGTTCCTCTGACTGTCCCTTCTAAGATCCCCAATAACAACATCAGGAATAGTAAAAACAACTTTGAAAGCTGTAGGGTTGAAGGCTCCCATCCCAGCATTCCCCTGGCATTCCACACCCCTTCCCAGATCCATTCCTCCGCTGTAGTCCTGTGCGAAGCCCGCGGCGGCCACCAGAAAACTGCCATCACTGCAGCCAGAACAGAGAGGCAGGACAGGGGGCCTGAGGGCATGTCTTTACTTCTCCAGAGGCAGCCAAAAAATCGTGTTGCCACAATATGGTTTCTCACACCAGATAATACTTTGCCAGGTCGAGTTTGGGACCTCAGAGTATCTAGGAGAGGAGGGAGGGAGGAGGGGGGAAGGCGGCCTTCTCGGGGCTGCTCCAGCTGCCCTCCCTGCTGTGGCATGACAGCCTCGAGAAAACCCTGATGGAGCCCCGCTGTAGGATGGTGGTCCCCTGCCCTGGCATTTTTGTCCTCAAAGCCAATCTTGCTACCATCTGCCACCAAAACAACCACTGCTCCCACCTGTCACGTGACCCCCCGCCACCCTGGGCCACATGGGAGCAGCCTCCACTGCCACAGAGGAGCATTTGAGTTCTCGGCTGTCGGGTGCACAAGCTGGGCAGTGCAGCAACCGCAGCTGCAGGAGACCTGGAAGGCAGAATGGGAAGTCGAGCTGGGAAGCCTCGGTAAAGTGCAAGCCGGGACGGCACTGCGGCAGCACGCTGGGGGAGTCCGTGCCGCTCCCGCGACTGGCTTTGGCGTGCCGGTCCAGGCTGCTTCCCTGGAGATCCCCCGATGCCAAGGAAACGCCGCCGCGCACTTCAGCCTGGGTGGGCATGCTCCACCTCCGCCAAAGAGCCAGCGCCCCAAGCCCTCTGGAAAAAGCAGCGGCTCACAAACAGCGAGGCCTCGCCTCCAGCCTCTGCGCAAAGCAGCAGCCTTGGCCGCGAGCGAGACAGGGGCGGGCGAAGGGGCCGCGCTCAAAGGATCTGCTCTGTGCTTGAGGCAGAAATGTCCAACAGCCTCCAGGCTGCATAGGGGTTCAGCTCATCGGGGTCCCGGCAGAGTGCCCAGACGTACAGCATCCGCAAGACTTTCTCCTGGAATGAGAAGGGCTCCAGCATTACGAGATGGCTTGCTCGCTCTCTCTCTCACACACACACGTACATGCACAAACACTTTTAAACCCTTTCCACTGGATGGCTCCCCAATTATATGAACTGCTCTTGCTGCAAAAGGCCAGGTGAGCAGGGTTCCCTCTATGGCACAAGACTGGAGGGGCTGATTTATGGATGCACTCAAGCCTCTTACCCAGGGTTCCTCAGCCCCAGTCCCCACCAGAGCAGCCTCACTGGGGTACAAAGCAAAGGTCCTGCATCCAGCAAAGGGGCCTTTGGGATGGGATGGGGGGTCAGACGGGGCAAAGCAAAAGCAGATGGAGAAAACCACCTCTTTTCGTGTGAGTGGACATGGCACAAAGGCTGGGAAATCACCCAAAAGTTTGGGTTTGGAAAAGAGGCGGCAAGGAAATATGCAAAGTGACCTTCCCTTCAGTCTTGGCATGGGTGATAGTCTTGTTTACCTTTGGGCAATAGCCCTTAACATTCCAGGCCTCATGATTTTGAATAAGATGATGTGAAAAGGAACTAGGAAGCTTCCTTCAACTGAGCCTGACAGTTCCTGTTGGTGTCTTTCAAAGCTGGGATTGTTTGTATGCTAAATGAGCTATGTGAATGCATGATGGTCCTTCTCAGAAGGAAAAGCAAGTTTCTAGCCCACAGGGTTCTAAAGGAAGGGCTGATTTAGACCAGGATGCAGAAACCTGCCTAACAGCAAATCCTATCTTTGGCCCAGAGGCTGCTTGTGGGCTGCAGCTCCCCAGGGCACCTGGTGTGGGGCTTTCCCAGCCCATCCGCCACCCCCTTGAGACAACAGGGCTTGCATCGGGGTATTGTGCATGCAGGCAGGGGCTCTCACCCAAGCTGCACCCGCCTGAGCCCTGTACGCAGGGCCTCGCCCCTTGCGTCATGGATGCCATCTGTGCACCCGCGTCACACAGTTTGCCGACCGACTTCACCCTGCTTGCTGCAGCCATCGAAGCGATGACGGACCGCTTGTGCCCACACAGTCTTGGAGCTGCACTCTGACTCTTGGCATCGGGCCTGGGGACTCCTGTGTGCCCTAGGAACTTTCACCTGGAACCACAAGGATGACACAGGAGTGTCTTTGTGGTGTGGCAGGGAGGTCTGCCATGGAGGACAGCAGGAAAAGGTGGAAATGCACTGACTTCATGTACCATGGGGAAGGGCTGTGAGGGGATTTCTTAATGCAGCTGAAATTTGCTTTAAAAGAGCAAATTTTGAGATATCTCCCCACCCCTCTTAAAATAAAAATCAACCAACCTACTTGGCTATTAGCCAATTTAATTAACTGATTTAATGCCATGTAATGGATTAGAAATCCTGCAACAGCTGACCGGCATAATTACAATCCTTCATTCTAGGTTTTGGGGGCAAGTGGCAAGGGTGCGGGGAGATGATTAAGTAGAGAGATGAACAAGAGAATATTAAAAGAGGACACACAGCAAAGCCGCCGACCCACCCAGCCATCGCACAAGTTCTGTAATTGGGGTTTTTACTTACTGGGTCTCCTTCAGCCACCTCCCCTTTCTGGTTTTTAATCACCATCACCAGCTGGGCCTGGAAGGTGATGACCAGCACAGGTCCCTGCTCCATAATTTTGCCCATTGCAAGCTGCAAAGAAAGTGGGAAATGGCAGGTCACTGGTCTGCACTGCTTCTTCACCACACACACACACCAGCCCATCGCTGGCATGTAAGATGTCGGACTGTTTGCCACCCTCTGCCTGGCTCAGCCACACATCTGTGCTACCTTTGGGATGGTCATCAGGCATCCCCACGGCCAACTCAACAAACACACCTAAATCGCTCATTCCCAGGAATGCAAAGCACAAGAAACAAGGCAAGGCTAAGAAGGCAAGGCTGCCTGGAAGGGATGAGCTTAGACAGGGCAACTCCAGTCTTTTAGCTCGGGGGAGGGGGGCACAACTGGACTGTTATGGGGTTCCCTCAAGAAACAGCTGCTGGGGTGGAGGAACCACCCACTAAAAACCACCGTTACGCCAAAAACTAGTAGTGAAACACCCCTGTCCAGGAGGCAAACAGAAAAGAATCTTGCCCCAGAAACGGTGCCCCTGGGAGCCCAAACAAAGACGGCACTGGAGAGTGAGCCTGGCTTTGCTCTACGGCATCCTCCCAATTAATAATCAGTCATTTTTTAAATTTTAGGGCCTACGATGGCCCAGCTATGTGAAAATGCGCCAGCCCAGAATGGAACCTAGAAGATTCCTGGCTGCTCTGAGTGGGAGAGTCACTTACGTCTACATTGTCAATATCCAGGATCCGGGAGTGGAACTGGAGGCCTGTGGCTTTGGCTTGTTGAATAGGGAGGGCCAGCTGACTGTACGTCTGAAAGAGAAGATCACTGGTTACCAAATCCACCAGGCAAGCAATGCACTGTCAACATTTCCATTACCACCCTTCCCAAAAAAAGGCACAGCACACAGGTTTGGTCCCTGAGATCAGGAGAACTTCACTTTTCATTCAAGCAAAACCAGAGGGTGAGGGAAATCAGGGTTGTAGCCCGAAGGGGTCTGAAAGACACTTGAAGCCTGTGGAGTAAACTCCTGCCAAGCTATTGGCAACAGTAGGGTAGTGGGAAACTTGGAAATATAGGGGCTATTGTGACTTGACAGTAAGACATACCCTTTTCTGGTAAGAAATGCCCTATTTATAATTTATATAATATAAATTAATTTATATTATTGCACTGCTTTGCACAAGCCTTGAAAAGTGGGATGGGAACTTAGTAAATAAAGAAAATTGGACAAGTAGCAGTGCAGAGAAGCCCTGTGCTGCACAAGGGGCTAGACTCTATGGCCTTGTTGACCCTGTCTCCCAGTTTTATGAAAGAAAGAGAATGTGCAATCAAGAGAAAAGAGAACAATTATGTGGGTGAGGAAGAAATTAATGTAGGTGTTGCTTCATTTCACTTCTCTACCACCCCTATAGCCCAGAGGCTCTCTGGGCAGTTTATCAAGTTAAGAAGCAGTTAAACAAGTAAAAACAAATCACCATATTTCAATAAAACAAAATCAACAGCAGTGGCAACCCACAGTGGGCCACGTGGCACAGCAGTGGTAACTATCAGAGCAATATTAAAACTAATGATTATCTATTAAATTATCTGGCAAGTCCAGTCGCAGGAATCCAGAGGAGCCTCCCATGATTGCCAGTGGTGACTGGCAGTGATGGGAATCGCAGTCTGAACTTCTGGAGGGCCCCAGACTAGAGGAAGAGGCTGCTCCAAGTTGAGCTGAGTTCCAGGCGTGCTCAAAACGTAGGGCCTGAGGGCTGCGCTGATGGGAGTTTCAGTCCAATGTTCTCTGGAAGGGCACCAGGTCAAGGAAGCGAGAGGTGGGACTCCAGGAGCCCTGAACACCTGCTCTCTGGTGGCATGTCCTCTCGCAGGGCTCCCCAGCCTTGAGCAAGTGGAAGGGAGAAGGAGGGCAGGAGAAGCCCAGACCCTGAGGAGCATCACTCACGGCTTCATAGCACCAGTCCTTGAGAATGTCCAGGTCTCCAGTGATCATCGCCTACAGAAAAGGGAGGAACAAAATCGGACACTGCCACTAAGGAAAATCGTCCACAGAGGAGAGTGAGAGGCCAAATCCTCCCACGGACCCCTGTCCCACACTAAAAAGAAGAACGCTGTTGAGAGTTAAACACTCTCTGAAAACTCCCCTCTCCGTTGACTTCCTTCCTGTTTCCCTAAACATAAGCACTGCATCCCTTTGGGGAGATGAAGGGACCTGAATGCCTCCAGATGTTCTGGACGGATGAACGATCTATCTATCTATCTAAAAGATTTATATTCCATCCTATATGAAAATTGTCCCAAGACAGCTTACAAGACCTAGAACAATCAATAAACAAAGCAGCGAATAACAATAATAAACAACAAAAGCGTAATACCAAACAAAAAAACAAAATCAAAATGTGACTGTATTAAAAACTGATTAAAATTTCTAATACTTAAAATGGTGGGCAAATAAAACAGTTTCCACCTGGTGCCAAAAGGAATATAAAGTCGGCACCAGGCGAACCTCTCTGGGGAGCGCATTCCAGAGTCTGAGTGCCTCCACAGAGAAGGCCCTCCTCTGGGTAGTTACCCTTTGTACCTCCTTCAGGGGGCGTAAGGGCATATAGGGAAGGAGGCGCTCCTTCAGGTATCCTGGTCCCAAGCTGTTTAGGGCTTTACAAGTTAACACCAGCACCTTAAATTGGGCCTGGACTTCAATTGGGAGCCAGTGAAGCTGACAAGAGGACCAGTCTTATATGAGATTGTTGAGAGCCCTCAAACTAGTTACAGCAGAATATAAGTTGAATAAATAAACTCTGACTGCACTGGCTGAGGCTGATGGGCACTCTAATCCAACATTTCCTGTCTCTGGGGTTCGCCACAACAAAGGGAGGAGTGGACATCCAAATGCTGATGGATTTCAATTCCCAGTAGCCTTGGCTACCCAGGATAATGGTCATGACTGATGGTACCAAGAGTATCTTGGGGGTTACAGGCTTCCCACCTGTCTGCAGCTATACATCTGCAGATTCTGGCTTTATCCCTTGGAGTCCTGGGAGGCCGCCCCCAGGAAAATCGCTACAACCAAGGGGAGACTTCTGGCCCCATGATCATCCAGAAAAGAAGTGCATGTAGAAAGCTTGTTCTTCCCCTTCCCTGCTGGAAAGAGCACCTGTCACAACACTAAAACTAGCAAGAGCTGCTTCCCCCCCCCTTCCTCCTGATGCAGCTTTCTTTTGTGTCGGGTCTTTCAGGTTGCAAGCAGGCACCGCTTCATGACTCATCTTGGCCAGCAGTTTCTTTTTAGCCAAGAAGCACCATGAAACCAGTGCCAATGTGAACCGGGGGCAGAAGGATGCCCACCCTGCTGCAGAAGCACTCGCGTCCCCCCAGCATTCACCCTTCTGCCCGCAAACCTGCCTCCAGGATGTTAGGGATAATGTCCGCCTCACACTGCTTGAGGAAATGGTCCTTGTCAAAGTTCGGGTCGACGCGGAGGATCTCGGTCAGCACCTCCGACATCTCTGTCTTGGAGAACAGCCCACCTGTCAAGAGAACAACCGATTGTTGCTTAGTTTTGGGGGAGAGTAAGAGGGTGGGCTCTGGAAAACGTGGCTAGGAAGAGACAGGACAATTCACCCACCCAACAGTAATAAACCCAGGAAGGTACAGATTCCCAGGTCTAAGGCAATCAGCCTTAGAGAAGCATTTGCCCAGTGTTAGAACAGATGCAAAGTCTGGCAGAATTTTGTCAAGAGAACACGCTGGTCATAGCAAACACTCTTTTCCAACAACCCAAGAGACGACTCTACACACAGACACCACCAGATGGTCAGCACAGAAATCAGACTGACTATGTGCTCTGCAGCCAAAGGTGGAGAAGCTCTATATCATGGGTCCTCAAACTATGGCCTGTGGGCTGGATCCGGCCCGCCATGCCCATTTATCAGGCCTGCCACAGCTCACCACGCGCGTGCGCACGTGTGGCAAGGTGCCGGCTTGCTCACAAGCAGATCATTTTGGATTCGCTTGGAAAAAAGGACCCCTGCCTTTCTGCACATGCATGCGCCCCCCGCCCATCACTGGCACCTTTCAACTGGCCCCCTATTCAAAAAGTTTGAGGACACCTGCTCTATAGACTCAGTAAAAACAAGACAAGGAGCTGCCTGTGGCTCAGATCATGAGCTGTTTGTTGCAAAATTCAGGCTTAAAATGAAGAAAGTAGGGGAAAGCACTAGGCCGCTCAGGTATGACCTAAATCATTATCCCTGATGAATATACAGTAGAGGTGACAAATAGATTTAAGGAATTAGATCTGATGGAGTGCCTGAAGAACTGGACAGAGGTTTGCAACATTGTACAAGAGGAAGCAACCAAAACCATCCCAAAGAAAAAGAAATGCAAGAAAGCAAAATGGCTGCCTGAGGAAGCTTTACAAATAGCTGAGGAAAGACGGGAAGCGAAAGGCAAGGGAGAAAGAGAAAGATACACCCAATTGAATGCAGAATTCCAGAGAATAGCTAGAAGAGATCAGAATGCCTTCTTAAATGAACAGTGTAAAGAAATGGAAGCAAACAATAGAATAGGGAGGACCAGAGATCTCTTCAAGAAAATCGGAGATATGAAGGGAACCTTTCATGCAAAGATGGGCATGATAAAGGACCAAAATGGCAGGGACCTAACAGAGGCAGAAGAGATTAAGAAGAGGTGGCAAGATTACACAGAAGAACTATACAAGGAAGATCTTAACATCCCTGATAACCACGATGGGGTGGTCACTGACCTCGAGCCAGACATCCTGGAATGTGGAGTCAAATGGGCCTTAGGAAGTCTGAGCAACAACAAAGCTAGTGGAGGTGACAGTATTCCAGCTGAGATTCAAAATCCTAAAAGAGGATGCAGTAAAAGTACTACACTCAATATGCTAGCAAATTTGGAAAACTCAGCAGTGGCCACAGGATTGGAAAAGGTCAGTTTACATTCTGATCCCAAAGAAGAGCAATGCCAAAGAATGCCAAACTACCGCACCATTGCACTCATTTCACATGCTAGCAAAGTTATGCTCAAAATCCTACAAGCTAGGCTCCAGCAGTATGTGGACCGAGAACTACCAGAAGTACAGGCAGGATTTCGAAGAGGGAGAGGAACTAGAGATCAAATTGCCAACATACGCTGGATCATGGCAAAAGCTAGGGAGTTCCAGAAAAACA